ATTGAAGGATGGAGGAAAAGAGGGAGGGATGGAGAAGGGGAGGATGGAGAATGGAAGGAAGACTGAAGGTGGATGGATGAGGGAAGAGAAAGGGAGAAGGGAAGGATGGAGGGATGGAGGGAAAGAGGAGGGAAGGAAAGGACGAATGGAGGGAAGGGAATAAGAGAGGGAAAGAGGTGAAGAGAGAGGAAAGGAGAAATAGATGGATAGAGAGAGAGGAAATGGAAAGAAAGAGAGAGAGAAAGGGGAAGAAGAGAGAAAAAGAGAAAAGAAAAGAAAAATAGATAGCGATACAGAGAGAAAGAAACACACACACACAAAACAAGAATACGAAGCAAAGACCAAAACCAAACAGAATGAGACAGACAGACAGACAGACAGACAGAAAAAACCCCCCCACCCCCCACCCCCCCAACAACCTTCCCCCAGAGGAGAAGAGGTCACAGATATCTTAACCGCATTACAGCTGAGAATCTTATTGGGTCTGTATGTGTAACTCCGATCGGCCGTTGGAGCTGCGACAACATTAGCGATAATGGGGTTGTGTGGGAGAGGTAACAAGGTTTTGTCTCTGGGCGTCTTGACTGGTTTTCACTTTTTTCTCTCTCTCTCTTCGTTTCTTTTTCTTTTTTTTTTTTTTTTTTGTCTTTTATTATTTGGACTTGTGGTGTTTTGTTGTTGTTCTTGTTTTTTTTGTTATTGTTGTTTGTTGTTGTTGTTGTTATACTTCTGTTTCTTATTGGTGTTGTTGTTTTTTGTTTGTGGTTTAAAAGGGAATGTGGAATATACAGTGTTTTTTTATTTTTATTTTTTATTATTTATTTATTTTTACTATGGTTTGGTGTCATAGAAGTAACTGGTACTATCAATGTGTATTATAGTAGTGCCTTATCAAAGCATTTTGACGAGAAAGCTCCTGCACCAACGTTGTACTACCAACCTCCCCCCCCCCTCCACCTCTACACACTACCTCAGTGCCTCACAAAGTAACATCCGGTGCCACCTTCTCCAGGCACCAATTCCCAGCTCCTTAACACCGCCCTGGCCCTCTGACACCAGGCCCTGATTCTACACAGCCCCTTCGAGCGCCGCCCGCCCCATAACGCCCACAGCGGCAATCATTAACATACAAGTGGTGGGCGGCGT